AGCTAGAGCAGGCGGGGCCCCTAGCCACTTGCCCCCGGCCACGTGGAGCCAGCAGAGCGCCGGGCGGCTAGAGCAGGCTGGGCCCCTGGCAGCTCACCCCCGGCCGTGTGGAGCCAGCAGAGCGCCGGGAGGCTTCGGACCGGTAAGTCCTTTTTAAAAAACTTTTCTGTGTGGGTTTTGGAGGGTGGGTTTGTACTGGGGGGTTTATGTTTGTGGTTTGTGTGTGTGTGTTTGTGGCATTTTTGCCGGCCGGCTGTGTGAAAATGGGGGCTTTGGTCCTCCCAAAAGCCCCATTTTCACACAGCTGATCGGCGGTTCCAAAATGGCCGCTGCAACCATTTTTGCGTGCTGCCCTCGCTTACCGAGGCAGCGAAAATGGCGGCCGGATGGAGGATTCCTGCTTAGCGGTAAATTTCCCCCCCATAGGAATGCATTAAACAAAGTTTAAGGCTTTCCTATGGGGTTTTTCCATCCGTATAGCCATGTTTCCGGATAGCAACGATTCATCCGTAACGGATTAACATCGCTATGCGGGGCACCACTGTATTGTCCTTATATATTTTGTTAAAGAAATCTTTATAATAGAACAATAGCTTTTCTTTAAATAATGGGCAGATCTAAAAGTCCTTTTTCCATCCGGTCTCATAGGAGGTATGATTCGTAGGTAGGTAGGTAGGTAGGTAGGTAGGTAGGTAGGTAGGTAGGTAGGTAGGTAGGTAGGTAGGTAGGTAGGTAGGTAGGTAGGTAGGTAGGTAGGTAGGTAGGTAGGTAGGTAGGTAGGTAGGTAGGTAGGTAGGTAGGTAGGTAGGTAGGTAGGTAGGTAGGTAGGTAGGTAGGTAGGTAGGTAGGTAGGTAGGTAGGTAGGTAGGTAGGTAGGTAGGTAGGTAGGTAGGTAGGTAGGTAGGTAGGTAGGTAGGTAGGTAGGTAGGTAGGTAGGTAGGTAGGTAGGTAGGTAGGTAGGTAGGTAGGTAGGTAGGCAGGCAGGCAGTCAGGCAGGCAGGCAGGCAGGCAGGCAGGCAGGCAGGCAAAACCTCTCTTGGCATAAGTAAAAATTGGACATTGTTACGCCTTTTTGTGAAGTACAGTGGTGCCTCGCATAGCAATCGCCCCGTTTAGCAATGAAATCGCATTGCGATGAACTTTTTGCAATCGCTTTATGATGTTCCTTATGGGGTATTTTCGCTTTGTGATGATTGATTTCCTGCGATCATCGCAAAGTGCCCATTTTCGCACAGCTGATCGGCGGTTTCAAAATGGCTGCCGGGGAAAAAACATGGCCGCCGGCTGTTTTCTGGGATAGATTCCTCACTTAAGAGGCACCAGAAATGGCCGCACTATGGAGGATCTTTGCTGAACTGTGAGTTTTAAGCCCATAGGAACGCATTAATCGTGTTTTAATGCGTTTCTATGGACTTTTAAATTTCGCATTGTGACGTTTTTGTTCAACAGCGATTTCGCTGGAACGAATTAACGTCACAATGTGAGGCACCACTGTAACTACATATATAGGCATCAAGAGGGGAGAAAAGTGGAGGGGAGGGGGATCCCAAAGAGGCTCAGGATGGGAGACCAGGCATGGGGGGTGCGAAAACACCGCCCATATCTCCAAGGAGACGTTCGTGGGGTTCCGGAGAATGGGATGGATCCGAAAGACAGACAAACCACAATACTGCTGAGTAGAGCCCAGGGGATCTCAGCCGGGTCTTGTCTAATCCTTCTTCTCCAAAAGCCACACTCCTTTAATAAGCCAAATAGCCAACACAGACATAACCATGAGATATACTCAGATTAATCTGGGCTCTAGAAATCTTTGGTAGCGAACATACAAGGCAAATTAATATTCCTCAGCTAGTCTGAACAAGAAACAATGCTTCTAGATAGAAATCAAT